CGAGATTGAAGAAGGTACAACGAAAAATTCCGTAGGGCTCAAAAGATTTTTTTCTCCATGAAAAAGGCGACAGAGTGCAAGTTAAGAAGTCAAAACCACAATCAACTTGCTACTGAGGAACCTTCGAAAGAAAGAGCCACCAGCAGCTCGGACAGCAGGTGATTTTTGTTGATACTTGCTACCACTCGGACTACCTGTGGATGCCTTAGCCTCTAACAGAAAGCCAAACTGTGGAAATTTTGGTTTTTTGAGCATCTTATCAATGCAATGAATTTGGAGCATATGAAAAAGATTTATTGAAGTAAAAGAATTTGTACAACACGTTCGGATAAAGCAGCCGCTCAATCAGACAGCGCTCGGTTCAGTGGGCTTGTTGAAAACATTAGCAAAGAAATGCAAGCGGCTATCGTCGCTGGCGAACGAGCCATAATCGATGTATCGGATCAGCGGTAAATCATCTGGCGTATAAGCGCCTTTCAATCGACTTTGTCGTCCTTGCTTTTTCTGGCCATATTTCTGCAACAAAAGTCTCCCTAAAACACTGTTCCAAATAACACATATTCTCCAAATCAGCGGTTTTATCGAGATTGTTTTTGGGGCAAAATCACTAAGAATACGGAGATCAACCGGACAGTGGATGTGAGGAATCAGTGTTAGCGATGTTACTGGAATGTTCCCACAGGCTAGAGGCAGCTGTGTTAGACTGTAAAATATTTTTGAAAATATGGTTGACATTGGTCAGTTTTGGCATATTTTTATTACGGTTAGCTTGTACTGGGCAAATTCACTGATGTTCAGGGTAAACTTTTTGAATAAAACATATTGCTTACAAATACATTTGGCTTTAATTTAATAGCAAAAATTTAATGTTTTTCTTATACAGAAAACTTCTCTTTCTCTCCTCAGACTGCATTATTAGCACCACTTTTTAGTGGTGCATTACATATGAGATTCATATTCTTCGTGTTAGGCATATTCAACTGTTGTTTAAAAAGTTTTAAGCCGAGTAATTGAAATAATTGAAATATTAAATGCTCAAATAATAAATAATCGAAGTAAGAAAAAACGAAAAATTCCGAAAAACAAAAAATACCAAAATGTCGGACAAAAAAATGAAAATGTTGATAAAAACAGCACAGAAATTAAGAAATTATTGACCGAGTGAAAGAAATTTTTATTTATGAAGTTGAAATGTCTTGGCCAGGAAAACTGTCGAGGCGGTAATCCCAGCAGGAGACAAAACTAAGGCTAAGGTCACCACCAAACTGGTCAGCTGGCAGCGCAACACTGATCATACGAACTAAAAAAGTTGCCATAAACTTAGCTGGATTAGATTCGAACTGCAGCTGATAAAAGCAAATGTAGTGTTGAAGTATTTCATGCAAAATTTAAAAAAAATTTTTTTTGCAAATGCTTTGCGGAAATTTTAGCTTTGTTACAGCGATTCTATTCTGATTATCCAAGTCGAAACCTGTTGTAAAACTGATGCATAACGCATCAGGTCCGGGACATGAACCATTCTACCGCCGACGTTTACCAGAGCGTAACGAGCATCTTTGATCGCTCTTCCAAAATAGTGAATCTTGCGAATATACTGAATGCCAACAAGGTCGATACACATTGTCCTGTAAAACAACCGTACCTGTTCGAGGATGCATGAAATGGTTTGAAATATTTAACATAAAAGGCATAGGAATTACAGGTTTTAATAAGCATATAAGGAAGCAGATTTTTTTTCATCCCTTAGACGTAAACACAGTCGAAGCTCTGCTTATGGGGTGGGGCGAAAATTACCAGTAGAGCCTTCTAATCGCTGTATGTAAAATGTACATCTGAATAATTTCCAATGCAACAATCAGAAGCTGACGAAGAAAATTAGTCAGTTTATTATAACCTGTGGAAAAACGAAACGATGAAAGAAGAGCTGATCTGAATCAGAGCATGATGATTTTATCAAACTTATATTTTCTTTGAAGGCCTGTGAAACAAACTTAGAGAAAATCTTGGTTGAAAGGTGTTAAAGTTACAAAGTTACAGATTTATCCCCGGGAAAAAAGTCGAATTTTCAAGCACATTGCCCCTACTTTCGGTTTGTGAAGAAAAATTGCAAAAAATGAGGCTGACCAGTGGGCAACTTTTGTTAATACCGGCCAGTGCAGCACTGATCAAAGCAGCTGGAAAAAGCGATGCCAGCTGCAGAATTAGAGAACAGTCTACAACTGGTCCAAATACTCAAAGTATTTATTTACCCTATTTTGTACTCGACAATATTATTTATTTTGGAAAAAATCAGTGCTCCAGCAGTTCCTGGATGTTGCTTCTAATGACTAGAAGTCTGAGCGGAGACAGCTCAGGTTTTTTCCGTTAGAGACCGTAAAACAAGGCTTAAAACTTTCTCCAGATTTTGGCAAAGAATACTGGACATAGGTCAAAACGCAAAATATAACTTAAGTTTCTTCATAAATTTTTCATTTTTGCCACGAAATCAATAAAAAATGAACAGACGTGATTGCAAGTCCAACGATGATGTAAAATAAGTCGATTAAAAAATATTCTCGCTTAATTGGAACAATATCACCAAAACCAACCTAAAAATTGGCTTTTTTGATTAATTTTTCATAGACATGGTTATGCATGAAAGTGGTTAATTTATTTCTAGCTTCTTTAACTTTTCAGCGCGGATCAAATGTTTTTGATTTTTCAAATCTGCAAAAAGAATTGAACGCAGAAGTTACAAAAAATTTAAAAAAATCAAAACGAAACTGGAGGTGTGCAGTTTAGGAGGGAAGGGTCTAGCGTAACTGCGTATGGAATCATCCCATTATTATCACCAATTTGGAATACCTGCACCGATTTATCCAATCTCTCATAATAACCTCGATATATTCATGAGCGTATTAATTTTTTTCGCCAGCGTATTAATTCGTAAAAATATAACCGCTTGTGAAGCATGCATAAAATTTCTTCCCTTCCCGTCTACCAAATGTCATTAATGTGATTCGCTGTAGAGGAAAACTAAGGTTTAGGCACCAGTTAATTAAAAATCCGGAATAATTCAAAGCAGATAATAAGTGATGTGATAACACTTGGAATTCTGATAAGATGAAACTAACAGTAGTCATTGTAATAAATGAGAAATAAAATCCGGAAAAGAAATCCCAG